GGAGTTTGGGAGTGCAGGTTCTGGGCACCACCAAAATTTCTACAAACCTGCCACCCCTGGCTAGGCAGCTTGTGAGGGGCCCGTGGTGGCTCCCTGTGGAGAAGGAGGGAGCCAGGGCGGGCTCCTTGGGCGACTGCTGGGGAGAAGGCCCAAACACCACCGACATGGGCCTGTGAAGCCGGGCAGTTGTGGGGTTAGAGTACATTGCTCCCCGTTGGCTTAGGGTCCCTAGACCAGCAACCATAGCAGAGGGGTACCACCTAGAGACAAGGGGCTACAATCCTGTGAGGAGGGAGGCAATTAGGCTGACAGTAGAACCAGCAGGGGTCTATTAGGCCAACAGCAGGACCAGCACAAGGCGATGGGGCCGACGGCAGGACCAGCACAAGGCGATGGGGCCGACGGCAGGACCCGTGCCTGGGAAACAGGCCAATGACAGGACCAGCAGCAGGGATGAATGGGCTGATGGCAGGACCAGCATGGGGAGACTGGGTTGACGTCAGGACCAACGCTGGGCAAACAGGCCAATGTCAGGACCAGCGTGGGTCAACTGGGCCAACAGCAGGACTAGCACCAGGCAAACAGGTCAATGGCAGGACCAGCACTATATGTCTAAGTGACCAAGTGACTAATGATTTGGGTACCTCAAGTTTGGGGGTCTGGTTTTCAGAGGGTGGGGGCTCAGCACTTCCTGAAACTCAGGCCCTTTAAAGTAACTCAAGTTGGGGCCCCAAAATTGCTGCTTACTCTTGTTAATTTAGGCCTTAACTCTAGCATGACAAGCGAGGACTTGGAGCCACCTGTGCCAGACAGCTAAGGAGTCCTCTAGCTCCTGTCAAAACACACACGCAGGTGTAGGGCTGGGGCTCGAATGCACATGAGCACATGTGTAATGGGGACTGAGGTGGGTGAGCGAGTGTCAGGAATGGGGAGTTACTGAGGTACAGGAGGGTGGGGGGACAGATCTAGCTCGGCCCTGCCTGGCTGGGCTCCACAGGCATCATGGCAAGGGGCGTCTGAAGGTGGGATCTGATGGTTCATGGGTTTCTTATCAATAGCCTTCACTTGCCCCAGAATGGCTTTATTGTCATCAAGCAGCATGTGTAACACCAGGTACATGGCAGTAGAAAGTGCTGGTTTATCTAAATGTAAGCAGGGGCTGAATGAGCTCTCCCCTGACCTCTAGTGATGAGCTGAGGGACAAGGCTTCAGGAACAGCCCACGTTTGCATAGACACACTTACACTACCTAGGCGCGCAGCACGATGGGGCTACTTTGCCGAAGTGATCACTTTTGGCTGGTGTTGGGTTTCACCAGTCACTCGAGTGCCGGGGCAATGAAATGTTGTTGTCCTGATTGTATGAGTAAAGGGGGACAGAACTGTACTTCGCCTGCCCTGATTGAAGGGATCACCCTGACTTGAATCTCGCTCACTCAGCAGGATGCCAAGTGCCAGTAAAGGAAAGAGAAGGTAGGAACAATAGATGTTCCTGTCGGGTGATGCGGGCCTTGACTTAAGGAAGCCAGGCCCCATTTGATTCTCTTCTCTCCACTGTTTAAAGACAACTGAGTAGGTTTAACTGAGATTCCCTGTTTTGTTCAGTGATCACTAGAGCTGAAATCACTGACAACCAGGGGCTGAACCTTATACCTGCTGTAGGACGGTATTGCAGTGAAAGAGACTGTACAGCCTGCAGTAGCAGTGTGGTTCCCTGCTGCCCTCTGAAATCTCTGAGAGGGGGGTTAAGTGGTGGAACCTCAGAATGTAACGTTGCAGCAGAGACGCTGTGGTGGCAGAGGGATAACAGCAGCGGAGCAACCCATAGCGCCGTGGCCAAGGCGGCAGAGTTTAACAACAGTGGCAGCTCCGTGAACAGTGGCAGCTGTGAGCCAGTTGTAGTGGTGACTGCCGCAGCTGAGACTTTGCTCAACTCCTACCCGGCCGGGGGTGGGCGGTGAATTCATGTGAACATACCTCTGAACTCTGGGTCTTCGCTGACCAAGGACAGCACCTGTTAGTGGGGTGCCGTGGGGGAGAAGGGAGAACGGAATGACAGGTTAAAGGAGCATTTGTACCTCTGACTTTCACACTGCAAGGGGGAGACACTGTGGCAAAGGACACGGCCCAATGTACTCTGGGGTGGGTGTTGGCTCATGGTCACATACTTTCGAATCATGGTTGTGGTGTTTTCCCAAATGAACGCTGGGTTCCTTTCCCCTTTTTATTGAACGTTTTCTTTGCAATACACAGAGTCGGTGCTTGTGAGAGGGAAAATATCGCTTCTTAAAGTCAGCCTGGAGTGGTGCTTAATTTAGGGTGACCAGACAGCAAATGTGAAAAATCGGGGCAGGGGTGTGTGTGGGGGGGAAGGGGTAATAGGAGCCTATATAAGAAAAAGACCCAAAAATCAGGACTGTCCCTATAAAATTGGGACATCTGGTCACCCTAGCTTAATTTTCTCAGTTTATTGGGTTGGGACTTGAGCAGGTTCTGTTTTGTATTGTTAAGAGGAACCCCTAAAAGAGGTGCAGTTGGACACTCAGCCATCCTGCACCCTCAGTTACATTGTGCAGCCCCAGGGAACTCATGGCTTGCGCCCAGGACAGAATGTGGACTGCTCCACACTGGAATCTCTTGCTGAAAAGGGCGGGCTCTGCTGGTCACATGGCGAGTTAGGCAGGAGCTAGAAATAAAGGGCATGTCTGTGCTGCAAGAAAAGCCCAAGAGCAGCAGTAAGTCTCAGAGCCAGGAGATACAGACTCAGCATCAGGCTACAGTGGCAATATAACTGTGTCGTTGTTCCCACGCAGGCTGGAGCTCGGGGTCTGAGACCCACCCCTTTTGCCTGGTTTCAGAGCCCGGGCACCAGCCCAAGCAGAAACAGCTACACTGCTATTTTTAGCACCATAGCGCAAGCCCTGTGAATCTGAGTCTGGAGACCTGGCTTCTGAGGCTCGCTGCCATGGGTGGTTTTTTGCAGTGTAGATGTGCCCAAAGTTATCAGTGGGTCTTTTTTGGGGGGCCTATCAGCTAATAACGCCCCCTTGCTCAGACACCCCAGGCCTGGGGGTACTTCATTCTTCACGAACTATTTAGCAGACCTGCTCCACTCACATAAATGAAACTGAATCCTGCCATATGAGGACTGGTTCAAATGAAAGGACAATATGGACACTCCTCCCCCAATCCCCATCTGTCCCCTCTAGCAAGGGCCAGTGGCTGGAAGGTGAAGACAACAAAGTTCAAAATGGAAATAAGATGCAAATATCTAACAGTCAGGGTGTCTGATCAACGTCACAGATTACCTAGGGACATGCTTTGATTTAGTT